AAAAAGGAAGTAGAACTCTTTAAACAGCTTGATCACCAAAATGTCGTAAAATTCTATGGCATAGAGAAATCCAGGTACATGCTTGCATATGAATTGATGGAAAAGAGGGTAACCATCGATGGAGAAGTGATACCTGTATATGACGTAAGGATGTTGCTCGATGAGATGGAGGACAACATTACTTGGAAGATCCGTCTCCATATTGCCCATAGCGGAGCTAAAGGATTATCATACTTACATTCAAAAAATATCATCCACAGGGATGTAAAAGCAGCCAACTTCTTCATCTCTGGGGGACCAGATAACTCGGAATGGATTATAAAGATCGGCGATTTTGGGGAAGCAGTGTATCAACACAAGCAAACAACATTAACGATGACCTCGTCGCAGCCCTCCCAAGGGAGAAATGTGAAAAAAGAGAACATCCGCCGATTAGTCGGCACTGTTCCATACATCGCGCCGGAAATAGCAAGACCTGGTGCAAAGCACACCCAGGCATCCGATGTGTATAGTTTCTCGCTATTCCTTTACGAACTGGCTCATCCATCGAAACCTCATCCGTGGCAAGGGTTATGCGATATTCCTGAACTAATTGTCTCATCCGCCGAAAAGGGATTACGTTCATCGTTATCAGAACTAAAAATTGACGGTGGACCGTTAGATCCCTTTCTGAACGTAATCACTCAGTGTTGGAAAGGAAATGCTTCAGACAGACCGAGCATGGAAGATGTATCAGCATCACTTAACGAGATTAAAGATGCATACGGTAATGACGTGGAAGACCAGTCATCGCTTTCCACTTCTCTCGATCAAGGTGATATTGAAATGGAAGGCGCAAACATTATTTCCATTCAACCGTTATCGTGCCACCAAACTAAAGTACTAGAGGAAGCTAGTGAAGTGCTAGCTCAAGGTTTCGCTGCTGGTGGTGGGGCACTAGACAGAGAATTCGTGCAAGATTTGGAAGGAAACGCCGGTGCCTTAGACGGTACAAATGCGTGTTCCTTCCTGACAATGAAAATCATAGACACGCTTTTTAATTTCGATTTTAGTGCATTCGGTAGTGAAACATCGCAAATTAGGCACGCTGTTGAGAGCATCATAACGACCTTTCCTGCTGAAATAAACAGGTTGCGGGACATAAGAGATCATTTCTCTGTGGACGAAGCATGTGAAATTCTTCAGGCAAATCATCTTCTTTTGCGTGAGTACGAATTCAAAGAATCGCTCTCCACCTCACTTATAGCCCAATCTGTTGCAGGGGAGGAGGAAGTAAGGAACTGCCTTCGAAATATGGCACAGAAGTCGTCAAGAACGTTTGCTGTATACACTTGTCCTCCAATTATATTTACAATTGTTCATACTGCAGGTGGGGACGAGTGCAATCATTTTTTAGTAATAGACACCCACAAAATTTCAAGTGAGGTTGGCGGAAATGGTAACGGAGTGATAACTTCTGCGGACTACCGTGGGGAACAGCTGTCGAACGTAACTACAGAGCTGGCAAAGTGGATTCGAAAAAGAATAGAGTCGTCTGTGAGGCTTCCTGCTCCGCAATCACTACTTGTGGTTGACTTAAAAAGCGAAACCATCGAAATAAGTGATGACAATGAAGTCTTATTGTCGGCTATTGAAGATTTCGAGAATTCGCAGGAAACGGAGGAAACGAATGCGATTGACGAAAGCCATATTCAATCCCAAAGAAAGGAAAACTACAAAAGTCCAGCAAGCGTTCTTCAACCAAGTGAAACCGAAGTCATTTTGTGGAAAGGTTATCTCACCAAATTCGGATTGACATCTTTCCGTGATTTCCAAATTGCAGCCATTAATGCAGTGGAGAAAAAAAATGACGTGGTGGTCATTCAGCGGACTGGAAGTGGAAAGAGCCTTGTGTATCAGATCCCTGCTTTGTTCTCTACATTCAAGTTCACTATCGTAATTTCTCCTACAATCTCATTAATATTGAATCAAGTAAATCAATTAAAGGAAAAGGGTATAAACGCAATTCCCTTTGGTAATCCTGCTGGGAAGGAGAAGGCTAATTACATTGCATTGCTAGATGAGAAAGAGAAGGAAAAACCATCGCTTGTTTACATGACACCAGAGTGCTTTTCCAAACACATGCACTTTTTTGCGCAACACAGAGATGAGATAAAAATGGTAGTACTGGACGAGGCACACAAAATATTTGACAGGAACTCAGGGTTTCGACAATCTTACGAATCGCTCAAAGAAATTCATGCTAAGTTTCCTGCAACACCAGTTGCAGCTTTGACCGCTACCATTGACCGTGTGTCCTTAGATAAACTATGCACAGAATACTTGCGAGATCCCGTACTTGTTAAAGGAACTGTCGATCGCCCAAACGTTAAACTGTCGCTCGGGAAGTACAAAGTTGTCGCAGACCGAGGAAAAAGAGGCGAAAGTTCTGAAAGTGGTTCCAAACAAAAGGGTCAGCCTTGGAAAGATGTTGCACAGGAGATATACTCGTTGGTTGGAGAAAACTACGCGATCGTTTACGTTGATTTCAAAAACGACGTAGAAAAGATGGTGGAATCTTTAAAGGCGTGTGGTGTGGAAGAAGCTAAAGGATATCATGGCAGAGACATGACAGTGTCGGCAAAGGTCGAGATCGAAAGGGCCTTCAGGAACAAAGAAATTCAAGTTTTAGTTGCAACTGAGTCATTCGAACTCGGTACACATTCTCCACATGTCAATATTGTAATAAGGGTTGGTTGTGCACGTAACATGAGGGCCGTTGGGCAAGAGCTTGGTAGGGCGGCTAGAGAGGAAAATAATGGCCACTTTGTTCTGCTTTTTAACGAAAACAAAGACGATCAACGGTTTGGTTACTGGACAAGAGGATGTTCAGACCAAGAGAAGGAAAAACAAGAACAGGACTTCCTGTCAGTGTGGAGGTACGTGTATCAAATTTATATCGGTCAATGCCTTCGAAAACAATTCGTCAAAGCATTTGGGGATAATCCAGAGGAGTTAAGCGTTCTGTCAGGCGATGAATGTTGTGACAGTTGCCAAGAAGAACAATTAAATCAACCGAAGATGAACGGCAAGGAAACAGCTACGACGGTTATAAATGCAATTCAGGAATTATGTGGCTTATCTAGATTCAGCGACGGAGTAAACGAAGGGAAACTTGTCTCGTTTATTCGAGGTTCTAATCAGGACTGGTTAAAGGAAGGAGACGTGCAACCTATCATTGAAGGGTCTGCCACGTATGGATCAGGCATGGGACATGATACCACCTGGTGGAGCAGGGCGCTAAGGCAATGTGTTGCTCTAGGTTTTGTAGACATAGCATACAAAGTCTCTTTGTTCAACAATTTTTATAAAACGTCAAGGCGCTATGTTGCATCCGTGAAAGGCAAATGCTTCGTGCAAAAACCGTACGACATCTCCGTTCTTGATCCATCGGTAGATCCTTTCAACCCAAATAAGAAATCAAACAGCAGAAACAATGTCAAGTCCACCACTAGCAGAGGAGTTCATTTCCTACCAAAAGTTAGGAAACTCTTAAAAGATAAAAGCAGCTGGGTGGACATCAAGAAAAGAGAAGATTACGAGTTTCCAGGCTTTTCTGAAAATAATGGAAAGTTGATGTTCACCCAAGATTTTAAAACACTCCCGTATGCAGCCAAAAACAGGGTTCACTTTATTTCTGAGGATAACCAGCTAACAACGCGTGGCTCGCAAAAGCAAAAAGTGCTAACTGAGGTCGATGGAGTGGAAACAGAAGTCTTTGTAAAGAGAGGACCTTGTGAAGGGGTAAAAGTATGCAGCGCTGACAAATGTGGTTACACGGTGGCAAATACGCAGTTAAGGAACAAATGCAAGGAGCATGGTTCCTCCAAACCATTAACAAGAACCGGAAAATGTCCTATTCACTTTGTTTATATTTGGCCCACTATTAGTACGGATGATCGCAGATGGATCGGAGTTTTTTCAGCCGAAGGAGAGGTGAAGCATAATCATTCAAGACCTGCCGAACACAAGATCTCGAGCAAAGTGGTTGAAGACATTCAACAAACAGTTCATCAGGACATCACTAAGACTTCCAAGGATTTATTGAAAGGTTACTGTATGCTTGTATTGTTACGATAGTTCAAAGTCTATTATATGTTTCTCTCGTATATCTACGCTGTAATTCGTTCTGAGAGTTTCTATGTAACTCTTTTATTCAAATGATCGGCACATTCCATTGTTTATCTCCAGATTTAAAACCTCAAAAGAATAAGTTAGAAACCAAAAAGAGGCCTCATGGTTACAAGCCACTGAGACGTACGGAAAGACAGATTCTCGTTCAAGCTTACATTACATTACATTCAGGTGGAATGAATTTGAGTTACATCAACCACAGAAACAAAGCAAGAACCTATCTCTAAGGTATTTCTATAAAGTCACTCCGGATTTAAAATTGTTTCTCTTTATATTAGTTCATTTTCAATGTTGCAGGTCAGGGTATGGAGTATATACCTGGGGAGAACAGTGCCGCAGCTCTCAACATTGATCGCATAAGGAGGGAGAGGAAAAAAGTTTTAAGCCAACATTCGACAGATGTCAGCGGAAGCTCGAGAGTACTCTTCATTATCGAGCAGTTTCCAAAGATCAAAAAGAAGGTGGACGAAGAGACTAAATGTAAGTTTTTACAATTGTAGAGTTGAATATTGAGAAGATCTGTTAACCCATATTCGGAAAGGAACCATGTAAGAGAAGACATAGACTCTTACAAAACAGTAGACGCAAATATGAACATATTCCGTGTATTTGTTTCGTAGGCGAAGACGAATTTGTCAGGGAAGTAGAGGAACTTGTGGGTAATTATCAAATGGCAGGACTGGAGTACATCTTTACCCCTCAACGAAACATGGCATTCTTTGCGTCTCCTTTCCAGCTAAAGCAATTAAGCTGCACGAAAGTGATATTTACAGACATTACTTACACTGGCAGCAAAGATTTCCCGTATTTACTCAACATGGTGGCTTTTAACGAAGACAGCTTACAGTGTAAGTTTATCTTCAAGTTCTCTTTTTTATGCGCCCTTCTCAAGCCCATGGTTTATTGCTAACCCCGCGCAAAGGAAAAGTATATACAAGTTTAAGAGGACAAGAAAGTTAATGTTCTGCTTGATGTTCATTTTGCTAAGATGAAACAGAGTCAAATTTACTTCTGCAAAAGGCTTTTCTTTTTATCGTCTCTTTTCTATAAAATAGAAATAAAGCTATAGGGTCATCATTTCTCAAAATGTGTCAGTTCTTTTTGATTGCTTACAAACTTTCATTCAACTAATTTGATTTATGCATGCAGACAATGCTGTCGCGCGTGTCCTGTTGAACCGACAAGATGGGGGTACCTATGCAACGGCAATCAAAGAGGTTTTTAAGAAAACAACTACAGATCACCCTGACTTCAAAATGGGATCAGCTCTGGAGGAAATCGTGGTTGATTTCAGTGATGCAGAAAGCAATGGCTTTAGAGATGCTATCGGGGAAAGCCTGGCAGCGAAGCTTCTCAGAGGTTGCAATGTATGTACCAAGTAAATCATACTTACAAATTAGTGTATTACTCCTTTAATTTCTGAAAACTGTCCAATTTGGGAATTTGGACAGTTTTCAATAAGGACTTTGTGAGAATCGTTACAAG